GCCTCCCCGAGGGCATTTCGAGCAGCCCGGGCAAAGGCGGCGGGAGACAGACAGACAGAGCGACCTCCCCCGTCTCCCTCCGCCCCAACTCCGCTCGCGCGCACACAAAGGAAGGAGAGGAGCGGGAGCTCGGGGGCTGGTTCAGCTGCCGCGGGCTTGACAGCTCCTGAGAAAGCGGCTGGCGGAGGGGGCTGTGGACTGCGGGGCGGGGGGACACTGGTCCGGTGAGCGGGACCCCAGAGGTGCCGCGGGAGCCGCTTGGGGGCCGCGGGGCGAGCGTGGCTGCCGTGCGCGGCGCTGCTCCAAGGGTTTGAAGGCGACCGGGAGTGGGGAGCGGGGGGAAGGTGGTGGGGCTGGCGGCGCCCGGCCAGGCTAAGGAGCAGTGAGACAGTCGGAGCGGGATCCAGAGGGCGAAGGCGGGGTCACTGAGGACACGATGTGAGGCAGAAGGGGGCCTGGGATGCCGGAGAGGCTATGGAGCGCTCATTTCACTCCCCTCCAAACTGTCCTTTGTTGCTCTAGAGCTGGTGGTCCCTGCCCTGCCAGAAGGTGCGTTCCCTAAAATAACCTTAAAACACCCTGCAAGCCTATCCCGCTGCGATTAAGTACCCCAGCCACGCACAGTGCCCGACGGGTCCATTGGGCTTTTGAGATGGCCCTTCAAAGAAATAGAGACGTTCCAGATATGTCATCAGGCCCACACAAAGCCCGTATCAAAGAGAAAGAGGTTCTCAGACTGCGTCTTGCAAAGGATCCTCACAAAAGATGTTAAGACTTGGCAGCAGGTCCGACTGTGCCATTTCTGGATAAGGAACTGCTTAGGTGTGTGAGAGGGGCTCTGGCATAAGGTGTGTACCCTTACCCCTGTATTTAAACCTAAATTAATTTTACTGGGAGGAAATATCATACAGATTTTTTTAAAGTCTATTTCACGCTCCCAGCAGGGTAATCGGTTCTTTCATTCCTGAAGCAACAGAAAACTGTGAAATTTGAACAGAAATTGTTAGATCAAAGGAAAAAGCAAAACATTAAAGGAATGAAAGTACTCTCATTATGTAGCAAAGTGGAAAGTGTTCACGTTGGGGTAGTTCAATTTTTAAAAACATGGTTAAAAGGACATAGTCAATTTAAAAATTATCACGAGTGACACAGGAACAGCAGCCAATCCTAGGGGGTCCACCTCAACCAAGCACCTAACATACAGTGAATAATAAATGTTGAATAATCACAATATGCACCCAGGTCACATTTTCTAGTTGATTTAAACTATTTTTTTAATTCCCTCCAGGATGCCATCCCAGTATATCTTCCCAATAAGGCTCAATTTCTTAAAAAAAAAATGCAGCTTTCTGAACAGCTGAGGGTTTTGAGCACTCTCCTGTCACACTGGACTGAGTCTTCCTGACTCTCATCTACATGGAACTTGAAACATCCCTGCCTGGTATAAGGAGACCCAAGCACCCCTACTCCCCCCACCCTTCCATTTTTCTTCTTTTTTGTGTTATGCAGCCTTGATGCAGCCTAAGGTGGAGCCTTTCGGGGACATATGGCCCACCACAACCTTGACCTTGCTATCAGAATGGAACTTCCTGTTTTTTTCAGAGTTCTTCATCATCAAAGGCAACATGTGCCTGTTTGATAGTGATCTCTGTATCCCTCCAGATCTTTAGCTGATGGACCGGCTGACTTGGCTACATTACCTAGTAGGGTTGTTACCCTCTGGGCTTTGAAGAAGACAGCCCCTGGGTTCAAACTTTGTTTCTGCCACTTATTAGCTCTATGACCTTGAGCAAACGACTCTCACTCACTGAGCTCAGTTTTTCCACCTGCAGCCACAATCCTGATAACGTAGGGTGTTGTGTAGATTAAATGAGATATGTATAAAGCCACAGTGTACCTGGCATAGAGTTGTATTCTGTGATTGTAAATTGTTTACTTGAAAGAGCAAATCTATGATCTGAACAATTTTTGCTTTTTCCATTGCATCTGGAGATTCCTGGAGATAACCAATCAGCGGTGACTTGTTCTACCATGGGAAATGCTAATCTTTGTCCAAAGGTTTATATCTTTCTTGTCCCACAGTAAGCAATACACAACAGGTTTTATTATTCATCTCAGAATCCACCCAAAGGGATGTCAAATTTTATTTCCGCAGTTTGGATGATAATAGTTACCTTTATAGAGCTTTACAGTCCTTAGAGAAAATAAAGCATGGCCCTATGAAGTAGATAATATTTATTATTCTCAATCAACAGATGAAGGGATGGAGGGGCACTTGCTTCGAGTCACCCTGTGCTATATAAGAGTAGAATAAGATGGAGACTAATTTTTTCCCCTAGTCCAAAGGGCAGAAGAATACAAGGCTAATTATCATGCTTGCTGAGTAGAAATAGGATTACTGGAGAGGCTTAGCTTATTGGTAAGAGATGGAGAGGAACTCTGAAGTCCTTTATTTTGAAGAACAAAAGGAAAGCTCCAGGGTCAGAACTAAAATCTGAAAGTTGATCAATAATTTGGATTGTTAAAGGCATAACCAACGGAGAAAACTCAGCAGGCGTGATAACTCACTATCATTTTTCCTCGGTTCAGAAGCCTAATGGTTTACTGCTACTTGCAAAAATGTTTTATATCAATAAATTATCAGGAGGAGACTGAAATAAGATACTGACCCCCCTGCCCAGTAGGTTCAGGAACCTGTTTGTGGATCTTCCCAAGCATTCCTCTAAATGAAACAATAAGAAAATTAGTTCATCTATTTTTATTCATTCATATATGGCATTAATTCTAGGTAATGCCTATTTGCTGGTGACAAGAGGAATATTGGTGCCACAAAGATCTCAAGTCTGTTTGACCAGCAGGAAATTTTTTAGACATTTCTACCTTCTTTGTTCGAATATTAAGAGACTTAAGGAATGGAAGGAGTTTTGTTGATAACTTGGTCTATTTAGGATTAAAAATTACCATTTTATTTTAACTTAGCTTTCACGCTTAACTTAGCATTTAAAGCCTTCCCACCCTCCCTTTCCAAACGTATTTCCTGTTCTCCCTTTCATAAATGTAACCCTTCCTCACCAGGCCCCATACCACTTGTGGCTGCCAGCTCTGGCCTCTTCCCATCTCTCCCTGCTGGACCTCCTACATACATACTGTGAAGGTTAAGGAGGAGTGAACCTTCTTGGGGAGTCTTCCCTGATCCCCAAGCCAGAAACCAGCTCTCAGTCTGTCGAATTCCTCTAGTCTTTTCTCACTACTTCTCAACTGGCAGGTGCTCTGTCTTCATTTAGTGGCAACTGGGGAACATATTTGATCTCCCTACTTTATTAAAAGCTTCCTGGGGGCAGAATCCTTATCTGACTGGCCTTTGAATTCTCTACCATGCTTCATACACAATAGGTGCTCAGTAGATATTTGGTGAATACGTGAATAAACCAAGGAATGAATGAATCCATAAATGGTTCTCAGTTATGCCAATTAATTTTCAGATCAGTAGCTGTGACCATTGACCACCAAGATGACAAGTAACGCATCTGGAGCACAAAAAAGAAGTTGATGGGCATGTAAGGACACACCATTTTGCTGTGAACAAGGAAAACAAAAATGATGAAAACCTAAGAATAAATTTCGATGGAGCAAATGTTTGCCATCCCCACCCTCACTCCCATCTCCGGCTGTACAACTCAGGTAATTTATTGTTTACAGAGTCGCTCTTTATGTTTCTGTAATTTGTTTATTTTTGCTTTGCTGTTCTTCCTTTGAAGTTTAAAAGCAGACATGAAAACACCGCAGGGTGAGTGTGGCTGCTGTGGCTGGAGCTGGGCTCCCACATTTCAGGCACTCAGGGGTGTCTGCGAAGGTCGTTTCCTTTCTCTGTGCTAAGCACAGAATGAAATATTCCTGACTTTCAAGATTAATCCAGTGGCCGGCATTCACGGGAGAATAGTGGGGCTATTTGTCAACTAGCTTTAAATATTTTATAGTAAATACTCTACTACAGAAAATGGATCCTTTTGCCAGCAATTTCTCAACCTCGATGTACTCTTTGTTGTAGTGAGAAATACTTCCCTTTGTAGTTTAAGCCCTGTTTCTAATGCAAAGATACCTAGTCCTGTTAAAGAGAAAACACTGGTTCTTGGAGGGTAACGTCAGGCTTAACTAAAGGCAGAAGCTGAAAACAGTGTATTTTCCCAGAAGAGGTGAGCAGGCAGCCCACTGTCGGGGTACAGAGTAGACAGCTCAGACGCCGCAGGTAGCAGCCCTGCCTCTGAACAAAAGGAGTCCACACCTGGGGTGCAGACAAAGGAGGCCGCCTTGGCTACCCAATTCCCAGTTCACACTGCCTGCTGCTGGGGACCCCTAGTGGCGATATGCCCCAAGCGCAGGTGTTCCTGAATCTCGCTGAGGTACGGAGCGGTCCCGGGGTATCAACCTGAGTTTCCCAGTTGGCCACTTAACTTGGGAGGATCAGACAAGCACACACACACACACACACACTTATGCCGCGGCTGTCAGCTACATCTTCCTTGACTTGAGGGAAACTGAGAGAGAACGAGAGAGGAAATAGAGAAATGAGGACTTTTCTTTTTAAAGAAAAAAAAAATGAAGAGTTCAGAAACTCGTTGAATATGCTTTCTTCTGCCGATCACCTCTCTTGGCTTAGTTCCCTGACATTTTAGACAACAAAAATCTTTTCTGCCCTCAATGTCCAAAGAGAAATGTAGGATAAACTAAACTGAAGAGAGCTCTAAGCCTGCTCTGGGCAAATGTTGTGTAGTGAGATTGTTTTCCTTGTCTTCTGGTGTTACCTCTGGCTCTATGCTCTTTTACTATCAAAATTCGCTTTCATAAAAGTATCTGATAGATTTGTTCTCTGCTAACTGTTCATTCATTTATGCATTCTTCAACTCACTCAGTGATGTCTACTAAGCATTCACTGTGTGGCAAGGAGTATGCCAGGACCTGGGACGAAAGAAAGATATGCGGAAAACTACATTTTTGTCCAGGGGATGCCCATTTGTCCTGATGCCTCCACTCCTCCCTGGGACATTGACATTTTAGCTGGGCAGAGTTTTAAGCTACAGAAATAATCTCTAATTGGGAATCAGAAGTATTACCTATGATGGTAGCAACTTTCTTTTCAGTGTTTGTTGTTGTTGTTGTTAATAAAGCCAAAATCAAGCCTCAAAATCTATTTCTAGATAATTGGCATTTTCCCATTCACAGTTTTAGCTTGTCAACTCAGGGAACTAAGCAGATACTGTACTCTGAATGTTCTGTGCCCTCACCTACCGGAAAAGTTCTGACTCAATATTTACATTTCATCCCCTGTGGCAGCTACAGATTCAATAATAAAACAGAAATAATTTTTTTAAGGAGGGAGGGTAAATGGGCATTGGAAGAAAGCTAACAGACACAATATCTGGGCCAATCTTCTGATATAGAAAACATAGTTTAGCTTTTTGCAAATATTCCAGATTTGTTTGTAAAACAAAGTATGAAGTGATTCTGGAAAAGTTGAGTCTGTATCTGTGGAGTCATACAGACCCAGATTTCAATCCTAGTTTGTCATTTTATTAGCTCTGTGACCTTCTGCAAGTGACTTCAACTTAAGTCTCCTGATTTTTAAAATGGGGTTAACAATACTTACTTCATGGAGTTTGTGACGCCTGAATGAAACAACAGATGTAACACAGCATCTGATACTTAGAAGCCCAGTTAGAAGTCCTGGTGTCGATTCCTTAGAGCAAAGCATAGTGTGCTTACACCTGTCTTTCCAGAGTAGTCTGGGAGAATAAGTAATTCTCATCTCTACCTACTACCCCTATGTTACAGCACCTTGTGAGATCATATTAAGACAGAGGAGAGAGGCCTGGGCTTTGGAGATACATCAGAGTTCAAATCCTGATTCTGCTGTATATCATGTGGTAATCTGGGACAAGGAGCTTAACTTTTCTTATTCTCATTTTTATGTAAGAGGCAATGATATTAGTGTTCTATAACAGCATTTCTAGCACTCAACAATATTAGTGCCCAGCAAGTATTTTAATGGTGATGGTTCTCGGAAAGAGAGTGACTTTGCTGAGGAGAGAGAGTTTCAGAATCTCCAGGAACGGCATGTATAATACTAAAAAGTTCACTCAGCTCATACAACTTAATAAGAAAAAAACCAAACAATCCAATCCAAAAATGGGCAGAAGATCTAAATAAGCAATTCTCCAGTGAAGACATACAAATGACCAATAGGCACATAAAAAAATGCTCAATATCACTAACTATCAGAGAAACACAAATCAAAACTACAGTGAGGTATCACTTCACACCAGTCAGAATAGCCATCATTCAAAAGTCCACGAATGATAAATGCTGGAGAGGGTGTGGAGAAAAGAGAACCCTCTTATACCGTTGGTGGGAATGTAGTTTGGTGCAGCCTTTATGTAAAACAGTATGGAGATTCCTCAAAAGACTAAAAATAGACTTACCATATGATCCAGCAATCCTACTCCTGGGCATATATCCAGAGGGAACCTTAAGTCAAAAAAACACATACACCCCAAGGTTCATAACAGCACTATTTGCAATAGCCAAGACGTGGAAACAATCTAAATGTCTATCGACAGATGACTGGGTAAAGAAGCTGTGGTATATTTATACAATGGAATACTACTCAGCCATAAAAAATAATAAAATAATGCCATTTGCTGCAACATGGATGGACCTGGAGAATGTCATTCTATGTGAAGTAATCCAGAAAGGGAAAGAAAAATACCATATGATATCACTTATATGTGGAATCTAAAAAGAAAAAAGACAAATGAACTTATTTACAAAACAGAAACATACTCACAGACATAGAAAACAAACTCAGTGGGGGAAGGGGGTGGGAAGGGATAAATTGGGAGTTCGGGATTTGCAGATACTAATGTATGTAAAATAGATAAACAAGAAGTTTAAACTGTATAGCACAGGGAACTATATTCAATATCTTGTAACTTATAGTGAGAAAGAATACCAAAATTAATATACATATGTTCCTATATGACTGAAACATTATGCTGTATACCAGAAATTGACATAACATTGTAAACTGACCATTCTTCAATAAAAAGAAAAAAGAAAAATGTTCAAGTTCTCTCTCTCACATACGCACACACAAACACACATGTATCAGGGTTGCACATCAGGGTCACCCAGAAGGCTTTTAGAAATCCCAATGTCCACCTTGCACCCTAGAACAGTCACATCGAAATCTTTGTGGGTGGGAACCAAACACCAGTATTTTTTATAACTCCTAGGTGATGCCAACATACTGCCAAGATTTGGAATCACTTTTAGGAAAGACGAGATTTAGAGATCATACTGTCAAAGGAGTCAGCTGGGAATGGCTAGGGCTAATATTGCTTTAATGATTTTTTCCAGGACTGTCTCTGATCATAAAGGAAGAAGAGAGAATCAAGTTCTTGTCAAGACCTTTTATAAGACTACATGACCACAGCCATTGTGAGATAAGAAAATAGAATGTAATGGAACATTAGGATAAAAATTTCTCAATCAACATAGAGCCAATTCTTATTCCAATTTTTTTCCCCACATTATGATTTTTAAAATATACTTCTCAATGAGTAAGTACCAACAATATGCTCCTACCTTAGGGTCACTCCCACAAGAGCCACCAGCTGTCAGGGAGGCAGATGTTTCCCGGCAAATCCACTCTATCATTTCTCAATCAGAAAGAAGATTAGAAATGGGATTTTCAGCTCAGATGGGGTTGAAGGGTGATGTTTATGCCGGAGAAATACTTCATGCCACAGCTAGAAAAATTGCTTTGGGGGGAAAAAAAACTCTCAACTTCTTATGTGTTATGAATATATGAAAATGAAACCCTCAGCTTGGACAGAAAGAGGCAGTATCATAGGTGAATGTACCTGACTTCCACTTCCCATGTGGCAGCAGCAGAGAGGCAAAAATTGTTAACTCTTTATGCCCAAAGAATTTATCCTCACCCACATAAACTCACATCCTCACTGTTGAAATTGAAAAGGTAACAAGTTAAATAAACCAAAATGTTTACAGCAGTTAATTCAGGTATGATGGTTAATTTCACGTGTCAACTTGACTGAGCCATGCGGTGCTCAGTGCTCAGGTATTTGGTCAAACATTACTCTGATGTTTCTGTGAGGCTGTATTTGGGTGAGGTTAACATTTAAGTCAGTAGACTGAGTGAAGCAGATTACTCTCCCTAACGTGCATGGCCCCATCCAATCAGTTGAAGTTCTGACTAGAACAAAGAGACTGGCCCTCTCTTGAGTAAGAGAGAATTCTCCCTGGCCGTCTCCAGACTGGGACACCAGTTCTTTTCTTGCCTTTGGACTTAAATGGAAACATTAGCTCTTTGTGAGTCTTAAGCCTGCTGGCCTTTGGAAATAAACCATCAGCTCTCTTAGGTATCTAGCTTTCTGACTCATACTGTAGATCCAGAACTTACCAGCCTCCATAAGCATAAGCCACCATATACAGAGGAACTGGCTTGGCATAAATATATATTTATATTTACATACATACTCTACTGATTCTGTTTATCTGGAGAACTCCGACTAAGAATTCATAAGAGTAATTCTTTCTCTTTTTTGTATTCCTCCAGAGTTTTAAATTTTTCTATAATGAGATTGTATAATCACTGATTTTTTAAAAAAAACACCTTTATTGCAGTATGATTCTTGTACAGTAAACTACACATATTTCAGATGTACAATTTGATAAATTTTGATAGATGTATAATCCGTGATTTTTAAATTGTGTTATTAAATGAACAACGGGAAGGATCATATCCTCTTACATCACAAGTGTCTATACTTCAGAGCAATGCTGCTTCTCGAAATTTAGAACCTATGAACACAACCTGAAGAGCTGTTAAAACTGGGCCCTCCCCTCAGAGATTCTGGTTCAGGAGGTCTGGGGTGGGGGCTGAGTGTCTGTGTCTCTCACAAGCTCCCGGGTGATGCTATTCCATGGACCCTGCCTTGAGTGGTGAGGTCTCTGGTCACTGTAGTAGTGACCACAACCCCTTTCCAGGGGACTGTCCTTTAATTTCCACTTCCTGTGTTTATACCACCAATTCCACCCTTTGAAAAATTCCACCATGCTTTGCAGTTTTCTTTCTACCTGGCTGTCTCATGCGGTGGGAAGATTCTGGAGGGCAGTGACAGTGTTTTGCCATTTTTGCATCTCCCTTCCCCAACCCAAGAACCTTTCTGATAACGGAATTTCAAAAATGTTTGTGCAATCCAAATGAGTGTTTATGTTTGTTCTGGTTTCTCAAGTCATTTAAAAGCAGCAGGCTGTCCTGATTTTCCACACAAAAGGGCAGGGACAGAATTAAAACAATAGGATGCTGTCCGGTATTCTCGTCTGCCCTGTCCAAGGAATATAATTTTCTATAAGCCTAGCTCCAATTCTCTTTGGGACAATTATATCAACAATCTTAATGTTTCATACCCTCTTGTGACATTAAAGTGTTTTCTATTGAACCCCAATGATGATAGGAGACACTGAGTTCACTCAATTTGCATTTCTAGACATGTGAATGTGTGGACTGGCATAGACCAAATGTTTGAATGTTGAGCTGACTTTTTCAGTTTTGATACAAATGTGTAATATTGGGTAAAAATATCCTAGGGTTATACATTGAATGAACTTGTCAAGGAGTTGAATACGATGATCTGGTAAGACTTGGGGAGAAGTCTGAACAATATTGCAACTTGGCACATTTTCATTTTAATCTGAGTCTTTCCTCCCCTTCTCCTGACACTCTGTGTGTCACACCACAATGACTAGCTTTTGTCTCTTAATGCTGTTTGTGATCCTATTTTATTATTGTTAGACAGAGCGCTATCAGGTTCGTACAATCCTTCTAAGGCATTCAGAAGATAAATCTTCCCCTGCTGCTGACCTTCCTCTGCCCTCCTATTTCTCAAACTCTATCATTACCTTTTCGTTTGCAGAGCATCCTGTCATAGCCTCATAATAGAAGTTCAGCTTGTTTGCATATGCATTTGCATGTCTTCATTAACGGGAAGACGGCAAAGTGATTAATGAGTGTTATTTCTCATTTTGCAAAAGGAATATGTCTAGTTTTTTATATTCTGCATCCAAAGCACTGCAAGAAATAGTTGTAAGTTAGCTTCACATCAGATCATTTCCAGCATTTGTGTTATTTAAAATGTTTTTCTGATAAAGTCATCATGCTCACTGTAGGCGTGTTAGAAGTGAAAAGACATCAGCAGAAGAAAGAGAAAATCATCCATATTCCCATCAGCATGAATAAGTGCGTTAATACTTTTGTTGTGTTTTTCTCCCCATGGGGATTAGCAGTTTAGCCGTCTGCTTTTTTTGCAGTTTATATTATGTAGGAATATGAATATATGTGTGTAAAAAAACTTGGTTAGGACATATATCAAAAGTGGCCATCCTCGGGGGAGGGTATAGCTCAGTCGTAGAGTGCATGCTTAGCATGCACGAGGTCCTGGGTTCAATCCCCAGTACCTCTATTTTTGTTTTAAGTGGCTATCTCTTTGTATGTTGGGATTATTATGACTACTTTAATTTTCTATACTGTGTCATTTTAAAAGTGATTATATTTTACTTTTATAATTGGAAGCAAGAAGAAAGCTACCTTTGTTTTGGAATAAAGTTGTATGAATATCTTCCCACGTCATCACATATTCTTAATGGGATTTTTAATGGCTATATAAAATGTCATTATATGAATCTACAATAATCAATTCATTATCCCTCTACTGATTGCCATTTACATTATTCTACACTTTTGGCTTTTTGTGAATTATGCTGGGCTGAAAATCCTTGCCCATAAATCTGTAGGTGCCTTTCTGTTTATTCTCTTAGGCGTGGCTGCTATAAATTGAGCAATTCCATGGCAGGGCCACCAGATGCATGACTCTAGAGGGCACCAGACACAGTGTGTTCTATATAAATTGTGCAAATTCAAAATACAATGTGAGTTGAATATGTTGGAGTAGAGCAATGGCCGAGAGTCGTCAAAGGTGATGGAAATGTTAAAAGCCCGTGATAAGAATTGCCAAACCGCCTTCTGGAAAAAATTGTGTCAATTTATATTCGTTCCAGGACTCACCACACACATATTAAGACAGAGAATGAGAACATATTTTTACATTCAAATTTGCTAGGAAAAATGATATCTCATTGCTGTTCTAATTTGTATTTATTTGATTACTAGTGAGATTAAAATTTTTGCTTATGTCTATTAGTCATTCGTGTTTCTTCTTTTGCAAATTGCCTTTTCTCTCTTTCGCCAAAATCACCATTAAGTATTGGGTCCCAGTAATTGCAGAGTTGTACATGTATGATCTTACTTACCCATCTCAATTACGCTGTAAGCAGTCACTTTCAGTATCTCTGCATTACACATTTGAATTCTAAACGGTGTGTGAAAGTTAAGGATCTTGTCCAAGATGCCACAGCAAGTTATAGGACTTGGATTTGAACCCAGCTGTAACTCCAGAGCCTGGGCTCTTTATCATTGGATTACGGTGCTCTTTCACTGGTATGTCAGTGGTCCTATTGTTAGTTTGTAATGATTCTTTATATAGTGATAGTTATAATATTTGATCAGTCAAATTTGTGGCAAAGGTATTCTTCTTGGCTTACTGTTTGCCTTAACTTGACATACTACAGATTTAAGTCTTTCTTCATATCCACTTAACACGACTTCTTGGTATATCAATGACATTAGTACTCTGTCACATATTTTAAATATTTCAAATTTGATTCAGGTATTATTAAAATGCTTAGTGTGAAATATTTCCCTTTCTAAGTAAAAAAAAACTATTGGAGGAAAGACTGATGGGAATATTAAGAATGAAACACATGTAACCACAATACATGAACATTTGGAAATTAAATAATCTACATCATTGGATGAAGGGACATCTTAATTCTCAGTGGTGTTTCTACCATCTGAAGGGAAAAATAAATTAAAAAATAAGACAAATAACAGATCAGTCAAATGCTTAGCAATGGAAATTACTCTAATTTTTTCAGAAGAAGATAGTGGTTAGATTAAATTTGTAATACCTAAGTTAATTTGCTAGAAAGAATAAATATATCCTCATGTGCACTGACCCATTGAAGGTCTTACAAAGTGTAAGAAAAAAATAAACATAATAAGGACTAAGTAGTCCCACCAAATGTCCAGTTCTCAGCTGTGGTTTCCAATTAGGACTATGATACAGAATAGCCATTAAGTATTTTGTATTTTGTCGTTTGAGAAGTGAATACATGGTGATCATTTTAAGTCCCTCTACTTAGAAAAGGAGAGTACATATCTCAATAATTCTACTTGACAAAGGGTAGATACATGGCTTAAAATACTACTGACACATTAATGTCTGCCTTATTCTTGTTGCTGAAGGTCGACTTAGGACATGTGTGAAGAATTTTCCCTTCCCATTGCAAGAAGTCTTTGTGTGGATCCTGGATTTCTGGGTCCCCTAGTGTCCGAAGGTGGTCAAACAACCTTATGTGGTAAAACTTAAGCCTGAGGTTTCTGAGCAGAACATTCAGGAATCCTTTCTCCAGCAAGGCTGACTGGGGGTCTGATGCCGAGTGGGAGAAGAGCACACTGATCTTTCTAGAGAGTGAAGAGAGCAAACTTCCTCATGACTTGGAGTCAGGGTGGGGGTGGGGAAGGGGGGTATTCTCCAGGATGACAGCCCATGCCCTCTGTCATGCATGCTCTGTGAGGGGACAGAACCTTCTGACAGGTCCTCCCAGATGGTGGTGTGACCTAACACAAACAAGCTTCATGCCCAGGCTTGGCCAAAAGAAAATGGAAGTGTTGCTTTCAAAGGGACCATGAGGGCTGTTCAGTGTGTCAGCAGAGACTGGAGAATGGTCTCCTATTCCCTAACAGCAAGAGACACTCCTGGGTCTTCTACCATCCTCAAGAGTCAAGAGACCACTTACCAATGACCGAGAGGGTAGAAAATTGTGTTAGCTCTGGTAGATGGAGTCCCAGACAGATCGTTTGATTATTAAAAATGAAATGATGTGACCACTTTTTACCCCAAGTTGTGGAATTAATTCATGTCAAATAGTCATTCAACAAATAATAATTGAGCTCTTACCATGTGCCAAGACATAGTTGTAGACGCTGAGGATATAAGAGTGGACAAAGTCCTGCCCTCGTGAAGTTAATGCTTTAGTAGCATTATTGGTAGCTTCAAAAAATTAACTTCAAATGTTGAAAAATGAATGTTCAGATGAACATAAAATAAAATACTCAGACAATGTCTCTCTGAGGAGGTGACATTTCAGCAGAGGCCTGATCTTGCTGATCTGGCAGAGGGAGAAGCAAATCCACAGTCCTGAATCAGACATAAGCTGGACGTGTTGGAGGAACAGGAAGAAGGTGGTGGAGCTGGAGCAAAATAATAAAACAGGGAGCCCAGGTGGCCCAGCAGTGGGAGCCCAGCAGTGCTGGAGGTCAGAAGGCTTGCTCCTGCTTCTCCAGCAGCTCAAGGCTTCCGTTTGCCATGAGAGGAGCAACAGGGCACAGCCACAGCGATCTCCTCCTGTGTCCTGTGCCACCAGAAGGGGCTCTCTCCAGACCTTGACCTACCCCTAGTCTTTCCCAAGAGTGGGAAACCATGGAGACCATGGAGAGGAGCTCGGGAGTGGGTACAAATTCCCTTGTGTCTGGGGCCCCCAGTTTTATTCTAAACTGATATACCAGTGCATGCTCAAGCTTTAGAAGGTTTTTGTTTTTGTTCTTTTAATTTCTTCTTCCCCACTCTATAGCAGCTGCCTCTTCCTCCCAGGCACTGTCAAGGTAAAACAATCCATGTGTCCTGACTCTCCCTGGAGTGGGCAGGGGGTGACTTTTTACCAGTTTCCTGGTTGCCGGTGACCTCAGCCCTCTGATGAGTTCAGGAAAGCTATGACTGATTTTGTACACTGTTTAGCATTTTCCTGTTGTTAGGATGGGAGTGACACTCTCTCACAGCTTCCTACACCCTAAGCAGGAGTAGGGTTCCCAGTGTATTCCTAACAGCAACACCTTTCACTTCTCAAGTATTCTGGTTTGGAGGATAAATTACTACACGGCCCCTGAAGGTCAAGTCCAAGCTCAAAGCCAGGAGCACCTGGCAGATGCCTTCAGGGCAATGACAGCTGCAGGGCTCACGGACTCTCTGGGTTCCTGCTGTCTTGTTTTGTTGGCCTGAGATGATTTCCCTTACTTTTCTGTAAGCTCAGGCATGCATTTAAAAAGATGTTTTTAAAAAAATGATCTTCCAGCATTTTTAGGTGATTCATGGCAGAAAGTCCCCAGATGTCAAGTAAGTCATATAGCCAGAAACAAAAGTTGAAAAAAAGTGTTTTATAATGTTAAAATTTTAATAATATACTTTTTTCCTCATTAAAATGAATGATTCTCAAAATTGTTGGTTAGAAGCATACGTAAGTCAAAAGGCAATGGTTAATGTGAAATTAATATTTTAAATATGGAATCCATTAATGTAAAAGATTGACTTTACTAAGCTTTTCTTAAGTACTCTTAAATACTCTAAAAATTCAATTTATCTAGAGGGTGTTAACATGAATAATTTAAAATCCATTTTCCAACAGCAAGAGAAACGAAATTGATTTTGAGGACTTTTCCTGAAACCAAAAGGTTAGCTATTCTTAACAAAACAAATTTTTGACAAATGATGAATGGACGGTTACATGATGAAAGACAGATAAATAGGCTGATAGACTGTTGTTATAGTATACTAAGGTAAACTTTAGACACTGATCTTGTCATCAGCAAAGATGAGCCCAAGTCTAAAAGTCAAAGGATTCTTCAGTCAGAAAGTTGATCAACTAGATACAATCAATCAAATAACAGAAATCTGCTATGATGCCTACAGCACCCATGCTACCAAGACGCAGGAGGACCAGATCCTACAGAGAAGATGACCCTATAGTAATCCTTTCTTTAAAGGATTTGGTCATTGCATGAATTCCCCAAATAAGAAACCTAGATACTTCTTGGGTTTCATTTCAGAGGCAACGCTCCCAGTACGTTAACATGACCCATCAGACCCTACGTCTGATTTGGCTGATAGGCTGACTGGATGGTTGTCTCCTTCCTCCTCCGTTATTCCACGAGTCTTCCCTGTGCACAGCCCAACCTGAGTGCTCTATCCAGGAAGACAACCTTTTCAGATAGAATCGGCTGTTCTTTCCAGTCAAGGATATAGGAACTGGGGGCTCCCCTCCAAATCAGCCAAGTTCCATGTGTAGGAACTGTATGTTAGGGTGTGCCTGAAAGCTTCAGTTACAACTACTTCATTCCTTTAAAATGACTTATTCGACCATTTAACACTGATGTTTCCCTTTCCCTGTCTGGTAGGCCAAATAATAGCCTCCCAAAGATGTCTTCACTGTAATCCCTAGAACCTGTGAATAAGTCACCTTACACGGACAGCCAAAGGGAATTTGTGGATATGATGACGGTTTAGACCTTGAGAAAAATCTTAAAATTATCTTAGGTAGGTTCTGAGTGGGCCCAGTCTAATCAAATGGATACAGTAGGCCCCCCTTATCCATGGGGGATACATTCTAAGACCCCCGCCAGCAGATGCCCAAGACTGCACAGAACTGAAATACATATATACACACACACACACTGTTTTCCTACACATACATACCTGTGATAAAGTTTAATTTATATGTCAGGCATAGTAAGAGATTAACAACAATAACTAATAAAAAAAAGAACAATTATAACAATACACTGTAATAAAAGTTACGAGAATGTGCTTTCTCTTTCAAAATATCTTGTACAAATTTAATGTCTTTTCCACCTTAACTAAATAGTTAGTGATGACTGTGGCCATAACTTTTGCAGTTTGAGATCTGACAGCAAAATGAGCACAGATTTCTTCATTTTCCACAATTTCATGGACAGAAAGATTCATTCTCACCATAATTCTTAACAACCTCAGCATACAAATTCTTCTCTCCTCATTAAGTCGAGAAATTTCAGCTTTTCACTTAAAGGAAGCACTTTACAGCTCTTCTTTGGCATATTTGAATTGCCAGCACCACTACTCTCGCACTTTGGGGCCATTGCTCGGTAAAATAAGAGTATCTTGAACACAGGCATTGCAAGACTGTGACAGTCAATCTGATAACCACGACAGCGGATCTGCTCACTGAGACAGCTACTACGTGACTGCAGGGATATGCTGAAC